TATTGTGTTCAATGTATGTACCGCCACTTGCTCCACAGCCTATAAATCCATTTGCACGTGTTGCTTAACATGGAGATTGGCATTGGCACAGTGCCTGGTGATGGGCTGTTAGAGTGAACGTCATGCGAAGTGAATAGTTCACTTGCTTTCCAGGGGATGTCTGCTTAAAAAAAACATCCAAAGTAGCTGGATTTAAAACCTGACGAGTTTGAAATCTTCCCTCACAAAACATCTCTCTATTTCTGATGTTTGTCTCTCCACATTTCCCACCTCACCCATCCAAAATCAGAATTTAGTATAAAGCCTGTATCTTTGCTTTGAACATTAATCTCCGAACCTGAGAAAACCTTAATCATTGCGCTTATGTGCTTTGAAATCTTCCTTTGTCTTGCTGTCTGCAGCCAACAGGCTAGCATCCCAGGAATCAATTTAATTTACTCTCTGCTCCTTAATAGAAACATGATCACAGTTATTAGAATTATGATCTCTTTGAAAAAGGAATTTGTGTTCAGTCAACCAGTAAATGTTTATTAATTTAAGCATAAAGGTTAGCTGCACATTGGGTGTTTATACTTCCTAATAGTATTTTTAAGCCTTTGATTCAGATTTAATGTATTTTTTTGGTTTGTTTTCCCTCAGTTTCTAGATCAGATGTCCCTCACTACGTTTCTAATTTTCACTGGACATCTTGCCAGACCCTTGTAGATAAGGCACATGGATGAATTCCAATGACATAAGTCAAGTCACTTAATACAAAATGATCTAAAGGGTAAATAGGTAATGAACACAATTAGTGGCAGACAATTGCAGCCCTTCTGTCACTGATCCATTTTAAAGGTAAAGGTTGCAGCAAACTAGGCAAATAGAATAAAAAGGTTCAAGATAAATCATAAATTGGTCATTATATAATAAGAGTGACGCAACAGAGTGATCATTCCTGTTGAGCCAACTGTAGTTATTTTTGATATATTATCAGTTATTTCAATTATAACAAACTTTTTATACTTCCTTCATTGTTACATCATCTTATAGTTTTTTACAATAAAATGAAAGGTATAACTTAGTACAGTACTTAACCAAAAGGTAGTTTTAAGATGGAATTTGAAAGTGCCCCTTGGCTTGCAAGCTCTGATATCGACTGGGACAGAGTTCCTCAACTTTGAACTAACAGAAAAACCCAAAAAGTCACTTGGGACACTGAGCATTGCATTGAGAGCTGAAAGAAGGGCAAAGTTTAAGGAGTGCGAATAAAGTGCACGTGTATAGGCATTTAAGAAGTCAGAGCCAGTGCGAGGAAGCTAGTTCATGTAAATCAAAAATTACATGTTCATGCTTTATAGGTTTGGTTGAGTTCTGATTGTGCTCCAACTTGCTTCGAGCATGTTTATTTACACCAGCAAGTGCTCCATTGCCATAACAAAGCCTAGAAAAGATGGAGGCATGCATCAAGCCTTCTGCATCAGCTTAAGAAATATGCAAACAGGTAGGAGCAATTTTATGAATTTCACATCATTGAGAACATAAGATTTAATTGCAAGACTTTGGTCAACAATGACACCGAGATTCCTTATCTATGTTTTTAGAGTGATTCAGTATTATACTTTTGTGTACTGAGCACCAAAAGAACCATACTGAGCTGCATAACAACTTATAACTGCAGTTTATTCACAGTTATTATCAGAGCAAGGTGTCCTGGATCTTGTCTGTTGTTAATGTGTTTGGCTGTAACGTTGCTGGCACTGAAGAGCACTGAGTGACAGTGCATAGATTTAGTCTAGTCTTCACAACATATTGGTGGCAGAAAGCCGTTGTTTTCCAGAAAAGTACCTTTCAGTTTTTTTCTTCACCAAGCTTGATATTCAAAAAGTTAAATCACCTCATTACATGTCAGATCAGCTTTCTTGTCCATTAAAGTAGGTGATTTAGTGCTCCTGCAACAAAGTCACTTGATTATATCATTGTGCCACTTGTAAATGATCATTTAATTAACGTGATTACAAAAACCTTAATCCAATATTCAAAATCTATACACTTTGTAATAACATTCATGCATAGAGTGATGTGTCCTTGAATGCTCAGTGTATTTTATGAAAGATGTGTGATTTAAAGGTCAGTCTCTGTGGACACTGCAGTGCAAGAAGCTGACTTAACTAGTTCATCTTAACCTTATTACAAGTACTTTGGTGATGGCTTTGCAGCAGGCCAACGTGTGACAAGACAGGCTCATGAATAAGATGCCACACTGCTCTTGCCTATTATGGAAGGGGAATGTGAGCCATTTTCCCTACCAGCATTTAATTGAGCAGTGGGAGTACACTGCAGAGAAAACCAGTATGAAGAGCAAGCAAACCCACTTACAGTACTCAGACATTGGTTAGTTCACCAGTACATCACACCTCTCATGTCTTAGGATAAGTGGGAAATCGTTACCTATGCATTGCCATGTGTTATTTATCAAGCAATATTTAATACCTTGATTTTCTGTATCTTAACCATTTAATCTTGGTAGCTCTGAAATTAAATAATGCATGTATGCCATTCTAACCAGTGAATGCTTTCAGACCTGAATATAGGTTAATACATTTTTTAACCCTTAATAGATGGTTTAATATAAAGGGTACAAGAGTGTAGCAATTCTTTGCCCCACATACCTCAACCTGTCCCTACTAAAGTATGCTCTAACGTGACTGAAAACAGTTCTATGCGTGTGCACTGCAAGCCAGTGCTGATTAATGGTGTTTTGCCAGACCAGAAGTGTGTAAATAATTTATGATGTGGAACTGCTGAGTAATTACATGTCATTTCTCACTGTGCTAAATGAATTGCATTGATCGCCAGACAGGCGACAGGCAATTTCTTACTCCCGGATCTTTGAACTTGCATTTCCTCATTTCCCGCTATTTATTTGCAGCACTTTAATGCTGTATCAAAATGAAATAAGTAAATTATCATAGAAGTGTAGCTGTAATTTTTAACTATTCCTTTTCTAGATAGGGCAGTTTCAGTGAGTATATCTTTTAAGGCTGTTTGAGTACCTGTTCTCCACAAAAGAGTATCCCTACATACAAAACCAGAACAATTACTGAGAAAGGGAAGAAATATTAGTAATCAATAAAATATACTCTTGGAGACTATTCTATGTGAATGGATACCAGTAGAATAGTCATATACTTCTAGGTCCAACTGACAGTGGTTTGAGTATCTTCTGCTGTTCTGTTGAGAAGGCAGTGGCTGTCTAGAGATAGTGCAGTAAAATGAAAGTTAAACATAACCTCCGTTTGAGAAACAAATACATTATCAGATGTAGTAGTGCTGTCTGGTAGCTGCATAAAGAATGCCCATTTATTATCTGTTTCCAGGATGTAGTTTAACACGGTAGTACCTGACGACCACTTTTTAAATGTGGGGACTCTTTCCTTTCACCAGCCTTTTATGAGGCTGGTCTTTGCAGCATCCTTAAACATCCTTATGAGGTGAAATTGAACTTGGGGCATTCTCTGCAACTCACCACAGGCCTTGGTAGTGTTGCCTGAATTTGCTGACTTTCACTTCTTCTGAGAATCTAGATGCATCCTGTGAAATATATGTACTTGGCTACAGTGATCTCTGCTTCTGTCTACCTTTGCAAAAATAGTAGAAATAAATAACGAGAGAATATTAATAAATCTCACTGTTCCCTTTCTCCTGGCTTTTCCTTGTCTCATGGATCTCTTTTACAGAATATTAAATCAGCAACGTGCGCTAAATAAAATTTCAATGCAGAATGATATTGAGAGCTGTTATACATTGCCGCCCATACCCACAGCCTGTAAAATGAAGTATTGACAATTTAATAATGCATTTTTATTTTTATTGATCCCCTGCTTGCAGAGAATGCCTCACTTTGCCAAGTGCTAGCTGTCGATGAATGCCAAACAGAAAGGTTGGGCGCTGGCATACCTCTCTCGAAGTTTTCCAGTGCTGATGGTGCACTCTTTACCTTCCTCAGTAAAGAGCCTGCAAGCATGTCGTCTGTGAAGATACTGCCAGACACTTGGGGATCAGAGCTTGAGAAGGGCTACACAGAAACAGCCAATCAGCCATCTTATACTGTGTTTTGTTTGCACTGGTAGTATATTGAGTCAGTCACTGAATATAGCTTTTTCTTAAAGCATTCCAATGAGTTGGCTTCAACATAGCTGGATGATTTGTTTCATATAATCAAGGCCCTTTCAGTAACATTGCTTTTTGTTTTCTGTCCTTAATGCACTGTCGCTTTCCACTGATATTCATTTTAGATCACTAAAGGATTAATCTCCTTTCGCATGTTTGCCTATGACATAGCTTATAACCTTAAATTATTCTGGTTACTCTTTTTTGATCTCTTCCCTAGGAAGTAATGTCCATTTTGTTAACTTAATGACTGTATTGAAGGAGATGTAAGGCTGACAGATTTAAGAGACAAAACTTTGGTCCCCAAAAAGTCTTAAGTCAGACTCTTTTATCCTCAGTTAATTTTTTCTACTGTTCTAGTTTTTTTTTATCGTATGGTATCACTTTATGGTCCTTTTTGTCATTACTTTTGTCTGTTAGGCTGGGACCTGGCAGACCTAAAATCTGTATAATTTAAGAAACTTTGGGGGGCAAAAAATTAGGTCAAGTTTAGCAAATTGTTAGTAAAATGTAAGGGTACAGTTCATCAATGAAATGGAATAAAGTATACTGAGGATCATTATTTGACAGCACCACTGAAGAGTAAATAACGATATAATTTTAAATATGGCATTAACCAGGAGAACCCTCAAAGACCACCTGTCTTTCCCTGTTCTGTAGTTTAGTAAAGATAGATTAAGAGAAGTCTCCAGAGATCATGCTACGTTTGCCTCCCTTTATCGGAAAACTTCATTTATGTTTTTAATTCTGTTTGAATGCGCTGGCTTTGGAAGCATTTATAGATCGAAGCACATGGGTGGTTTTCAAAAGAAAAGAATTAAAACACTCATAAAATATTCTGTTACTGTGTTATACAGCTTGTATTTACTGCATCGGTGGGATTCTCTTGAAGATTTGAGATTTTAAAGAAATGTTTTAAGGTATTTCCTGAGGAGGAATGTGGACTTTCCATTACAAAGTTATTTTCAAGTAATGTGAGGCACTTTCTTTGTAAAGCTGCTACCTGCCTGGTCCCATTGTCTCCTGTTTTCAAGGCCTCAGGCATTTGTGAATACTCCCCTTGGTGGAGCTGTCCTGATATTAGTCACTGTGCAGCTGTTTGGAAGTGGCAGGGATTGAAAAGTGAATTAGCGATGAAAGAACTGAAATTGTTTTCCAGTATATCCAAATAGCTTGTCAGTTTAAGGTTTATGTTTAGTTTTCTCTTGATTTATTTTATTATATTCAACAGTATTCATTTTGGCTTTTTGTTTGAATTGATCCACTTCAGTGGATCAACATTGTTTCCCCAGGGTTCCTTTTTGTGCTTTGCAAGTGAATATATTTATCAGGGGCAATTCAGTGCTTCATTCATACCCAGTTTGAGGATGGACAAATGTCCAAACTGTAATACGGTTACCTGTTGCCATTGGAGCATGAAGCAGTGATTGTACTGTTGCCTTTAAACAATGTGCGTGAGTATTGGCAGAAGCAACCCCTCTTCTAATTAGTAGAGATTGCCGCCCCACCCTACTTACCAAATTATATATTTGGCTGCTTCTTATCAACTGGATTTGGTGCCCAAATATTGTGGTCAGGAAAGCAGTGGCTCCTTTGGTGAAAAGGAGCTTGAATGACCAAGACAACTCAGTGTGCTGGTGCTTCATGTGCAGTAGTGTTTAAGGTGATGTCAGCATAGAAGTCCAAGGACATGAGCACCAAGGGCAACAGCAGGAGGAAGCACAAGGCAAACTGATGAACCACTGCAGATCAACTGACTTTGAATTCCAGATGCCAAGACTTTTACATGGCACATGCAAACCATTTTGGTTTGCAGCACTTGCGTTTGAGGACTGGGCACAGTTCAACAGATTTTGTATAGGAGCCTAAAGCTTCCAAAGACATCCATGTAAGTCTACATTAGGCTTGAAGCACTACTTAATTTAGAGAGCTGTGGGTGTCCGTGTCTGGAAAAACAGTCAAGCTGTGTTAATGAGGCTGAGGGTATCCAAGAATTAGCTTCAATAAATTCTTGGATCCATAAACTTCAGTACTTGAAATTAGGCAGGCAGAAAAGGCTTTTTACTCTTCCTCAGTCCAGCTGTTTGTTCATATTCTCAAGCCATGTGATGCAGTGCGTTCTTGTGACATGCGTGCGTTTGCCTGTTTGTCTGGTGCAGAAATGTGTGTACTGTTACAAGACGATGAAGAGGGTCTCAGGTGCCTGTATCCAGTGTTCCATTGACCGCTGCTCCACCTCCTTCCATGTGACTTGTGCGCACACAGCTGGGGTACTCATGGAGCCTGACGATTGGCCCTACATAGTGTCCATCACCTGCCATAAACACAAGTCCACCAATCAGAACGTGAGTATATTGGACCTCTGGGAAAACCTAGTCTATAAACTTTCAGTGGTAGTTAGGTGGATGTTACTTTATATTTTAAAATTTCCTTAGCATTGATTAATACAGTTTTTTCTCAAAACCTGTATGGACATTTTTTTTACTTTTGATGTTATACCCAGGTGTTTGCTTTATTCACAATCATTTCACGTTAACTTGCCTATACGGCTTACCTATCTACTGTAACTCAAACACAGGTTGCCAAAAGATGATTACTTGTGCTCACAAAATGGTGAATTAACTGGTTTTTCCTATATCTTTGCACTGCATACTGATTGCACTACTCAGAATTTCAGCTCATTTTCTGTCTAGTGCCTTGATCATTTGGCTTTGCAGAAACTACCATTTGCAGTTCTTATTAGAAGAGTAAAAGTCCTAGCTCACTGTGTTAGCATGCGACATTGTTAGCACTGTAAAGTAGGCAGTGGATAAAAAAAGTCTTGAAATGCTGAAGCCAATTAAGCATTTTAACAAAAACAGCAGGAGGAACAGTCCAGACTGGCCAGCTGGGCGAACCCTGTTCTTTTCTTTCTTCTATTAATAATTTTTGCTTGCAGTCGCTGCTCGAAAAGGTGACGGAACACAAAAGGCAGACGGTAGCTCTGCTCATTAGCAACACGCCGTCTTCCGCTAACGAACCTCCTTCCTCTGTCTCCAGCTGAGCCAGGCCACCAAAGAGGTCTCGTTAGGACAGACTGTCATCGGCAGGAACCGCAACGGGCTGTATTACAAGTGCCGGGTGATAGGGACAGCCACACAGAATTTTTACGAGGTCAACTTTGAGGACGGATCCTACAGTGACAACCTCTATCCCGAAAACGTCATTGTGAGTTTGTGTTTCTCCCATTTTTTACCAGTAAAGGACGATGTGATGTAGAGTATTTTTAAGAGAGATTTATCCCTCTCTGGGAATTACCCTTCTCACCTCCTTCTTTTGGGTGCTAAAAAGTCCTGTTTCATCATTGTGCTCCTAATCAGATGCTCAGTCCTTGAAGATCCTTGGTTGTCATGTGGCTGTTTCTTAAAAGATCCCATGAAATCTCTTTCAATAGCATGGCTGAGCCGATTACTGTGATATTGAATGTTTCATTGTAGTAATTTCTAGATGAACTGTACTGGATTGCCCACAAAAGCACAATTCAGTGGTAAAATATATTAACAATATCATTCAATCTCATACATATGTTTTGTTCTTCTTCTCACTTGCTCAAAGTAGAGAAAGTGTGGTTGGCCATTGGCTAGGAAATTCTCAGAAATCTTGAGTTGCTGTATTGCTGGGAAATCAATCTTCTCTGCCTGTATATAAAGAGCCAGAAAAGATCCTTGGATATTTGGCTAGTGGCCAATATAGCTAGGTGGGCCAAATGTAACCTGTCTTGAATTTTTTTCTGAATGTGTGAAGAAAGAGTTTATGGTTTGGCGTTTTGATGTAGCAGCAGGTTTTTCTTGTTTTTTTTCCGTTTTATAAGCTTTTTAATTGAGTTAGTCAACCGTGATATCATTTGAATATACGCTTCATGAGCCAGAGATGCAGCTAGAGCTCCGTATCTTTACTGCCTAGACAGATTCTTTCCTGGCGGTATAGAAACTAATCATCAAAGGTGCTTACTGACCATAGCCATATTTAGCCATGTAGTATATAGTGAAAATGTACACTCACAGCTGTCCAGTTGCATGCCGTTTAGTTATCAGTGTGCTACAAAGCATGGTGTAACACTTTCTATTGAGTGATGCATTAGCTGAGAGTGCTACATGTTAGCTGACAGACTGAAGAGCAACTGGACATGTGGTTAAGGGGAGAGTACTTATTTTTGTCTTTAATTGAATACAGTAGTTCTTCTGAATTGTTTTTCTATGATTAAAAATATAAAGAATGTTGCTTTATGTGTGTTTCGGTGCCTTTGCTAAGCAAATGTCTACCCCTCAGAGTCGAGACTGCCTCCAGTTTGGGCCTCCGGTGGAGGGTGAAGTCATTCAGGTTCAGTGGACAGACGGCAACATTTTCAATGCCAAGTTCATCACCGCTCACCTCATGAATGTCTACCAGGTAAGAGGAATTTAAAGAGAACGTTTTTTTTCCCCATCAAAGATGATTTGAGAATGGTTTCACTTTTGCTTCTGGGAAAGTCAGCCCTGGTGTGAGTGCTTGCTCTGCGATATTTTGACCATCTCCCCTGCGATGGACTGGTGTCCCATCTAGGGTGTACCTTCCTGTGCACCTGCTGCTTGCTGGGATGGGCTCCAGCTCCCCTTGAGAACAGGTTTGAAGGTGGATGGGTGAAAGTCATGGTTTAAATTGAGATGCATTTGGAGTTGGTTCAGTGGCAATGCATTGTTGACCCTGAACATTCTGTCCTGTTAACAACTGAAGGGAGGCTGAACACTTTTTCCACCTGCAAATTTAGAGAGAATAAGAATAAGAATATTTAGGTCTTGGAGATACACATTCATTCCTTTCTCCAGTTTTAGATAATTGAACTCTTTTTGTTCAGGTACTTACTGCTTTTCATTTGTAATTACTTTTCAGAATGTGTAAAGATAAATTATGCTTTAGTCTTGATTTCAAGCTATTTGGCCACAAAATGTTACTTTGGAAATGGTTTATAACATTTTTATAGGCTCCATATGTAAACACTCTCTCACAAAATGAACTTTTTCCTTTCCTCTGTTGATTAGGTAATTGAAAATGTAGAGGTTTTCGATAAGAAATTGATGGTTCCAGATTTTTGAACACAATAAGATCCTATGTTCTTGCCTAATCTAAATTCTGGCACTTGTGTGTGAGATGGGATGATAAAATATGACAAGGGCTGACATAAAGCACAATTCAGAGATACTGCATCTGTTATTGATCCTTGAGCACTGGCCATTGTAACTCACCCTGAAACATGGTTTATAGTCGAAGCTAATCAGCTTGGCTTCAGTTGGCATTGTGTGTATAATGAATGCTTCCAGCATCTGGTGTCCCAGTGTGTAAGGTGTGACTGTTTTACATAACGGGGGTTTTGTAAATAAAAGCACTGGATTAGGTGATTTTGCCACATCAGAGATTAGTTTTTTTTTCCCCGAGTGGTTCCAAGTGTGTTACTGAGTACAAGTAATTTTGAGTTTCCACCAAACATTTCTCCTGCCTCTCTTGAATCTACTGGAACATACCTACTGTATTTTATCCTTTTGCGAGGTCTGAATTTTCCACATCAGTGACTGTAACAGCTGTTTTTTTGTTAAAAGTATTCTAATTTACAACTGCATTTCAGTACAGTCTGTCAGTCATTCTGGTAGAGTGACCTGATTTTAATTAACTGGTACAGTTTTTTCTCACCTGCCTGTTACTCAAACTTTTACAGAATTCTGTCTCTTCTCTTTGTGATTCTTCTGACTCATGTTGTACTATGTGCTGATCTTTGAGTTCTCGAGGCCCTTAGGCTGTAATATTAAAATAAAATGTACAAAAACTATGCACTAATACAGCTGCCGATAGACAGGAAGGCAGAATGTGTCCTCGTTAGATTTCATACTAGCGTTTTTAGTCTGCAAGTGGAAAACACCTTTTTTATTATTTCGTCAAGTCAGTCTGCTCCTCCAAATTATCTTTATTATACTTGTTTTGCATAAGCCTCTTAACTGTGTTTTGATTGTATTCAAAATATAGAAAGTTAAGTTTTACCCATTTTTTGCCACTTAAAAAGCAAGGAGCAGGTTTCTGGAAAACTCAACACTGTGCATCACTTTACGTTGTACATCATGTCCAACAGCTGTAAAAGAAGTTGCCCAGAATTATTTTGAATTTTCTTGCCTCAGCATTTTTTTAAATATAAATTCTAAGTGTTTCTGGCAGGATTGGAATTTGATTAGTACATGTTGTTAGATGCTGGATTTAAATAAATACTGTCTTGTCTTAATGTACTATCGATAAATGTTGGTAAAACCTTTTGTCGTATTTTCTGTCTCCTTTTTGCTCTGAAACCCTGGCTTTTCTGGCAGCACTACAGTGTTTTCGTGGCCTGACTGTCTAATTGTTTGTAATTTGCTACCACTCATGCCATTCTGAGCTGTACATTATTTTAGAAATTAGGAGGAACAGGAATTTGAGAAACAGCTGGTAAACACTGATGGTCACTTGTCCTGCAGTGCAAGGCATTTCAATAGCAAAAGTCATGACGGGTGCTGAAACTGCACACAGATGCTGAAGACTGTAATAATAATGAACTTTATTTTACATAGCACCTTTAATGGTGGCTTCTCAAAGCGCTTTACAGAAACACAAAAGCAACAACAATAAAAAATAAAAAAATACACAAGATAAACACGATGAGAATGTGTAGATGGTAGTACTAAATATAGTAGGAGCAGAGGGGTAAAGAATGGAACCAGTTAAGTAAAGGCTCTTCTAAAGAAGATGCTTTTAAGTCTGGATTTGAAGGAGTTTAGAGAAGTTGACTCTGGTATCCATTGGGAGAGAGTTCCAGAGCTTTGGGGCGCAGCAGGAGAAGGCCCTGTCCCTCACAGAGTGTAGATGGTCTCGGGGGACAGCCAGGACACCAGAATTAGAAGAGCGAAGGATGCGAGGTGGGGAGTAGGGCGAACATAGCTCAGATAGGTACTGAGGTGCCAAGCCACGCAGAGCCTGTAGAGTTATCCTCCCTAAATTAAATCTTATTACTCTGAAAGTGGCAAAAGAAGAATCTTATTGTGCAAGTCCTTGTCACAGCAAGACTGCCAGAATGCAAGTCCAGGGTTTTCATGAAGTGCCTGACTGCAGTACACTCTTCCAAACCTGAGTGGTAGTTTGACTTTTGGAGCTGTATGGCTGTCATGTCACCCAGGTGGGTGCTGCACAGAAAGGGAGGGGGGAAACTTCATTAGTTTTGGTTTCTTATGCATTTTGCAAAGGGCTCAAAGAGTAAAGGTCTTCACCTGACTACAGGTTGAACTTTTATGATTCAAGTCAAGAATATTTTCCAATCTTCAACTTGACTGTAGACTGTCCAGTATCTTAAGAAGTGCCTTAAATAAAAGTAGAAGTTAAATGATGGAAGATAATTGCCATAATTAATGACATAAAATGGATTAATATCTAGTACTACATTAATATCTAGTACTAACATTCAAGGGAAAACACAGGGCTGTCCTGTGGAATGAGTTTGGAATGTGGCGATTTAACATTGTTGAAATGTAGCATGAACAACCGTAGTGTCTTCTTAGTTTCTAACACGTTTTCACAGGTGGAGTTTGAAGATGGATCTCAGCTGACAGTGAAGCGCAGTGATCTTCACACACTGGAAGAAGAACTGCCAAAGAAAGTCAAGTCCCGGCTGGTGAGGGCTGTCAACACAGAGGTTCAGGGGTGAATTAGCACAGGACAGTGGCATATCCTTTGGTCCTTAAACTGCATCGCGTCTTCACAGATGCAGTAGGCAGGACACCAGCAGTTGGAATATTTTCTTTTAACCATCACTTCAATTTTCTAAATGTATGTCGCTTCTACACAGCACATCTTGGGGAGCCCAAAGCCTCAAATAACTTTAGAAAATCAAGGAATATGTAGTGTAATAAAGGTCAAGATCAGATCATTATATTTAAAGAAGAAATAACAAAGCGTTCCAGTCAAGCACGGGAGGGAGCAAAGGTTCAGAAATTTAAGGGTAATGTTGCTGTTCATCGTAGATAAATTCATTAGCATTTATGCATGGAGATCAGGTGCTAGCATGTTGTCTTATTGTGGTTATTTAAAATGCACAGTTATGCATGCAGATGGTTATAGTGTCAAACTAAAAAAGGCTGGAGTTTTAAGTACTCGTCAGCTTCTCAGGTAATGTCTTTGGAGATTCATATAGCCTGTGGCAAGCAGCAGGTGGATCTTAGCTGCATTCAGCTCACATCTGCAAAACTTAAGCAGCACAATGAACTGAAGGCACATTATGCTGACCTGTGACAGTCTTTCAAATACCGTCAGTGCTGAGACTCAGATGGCAGGGAATGCCAAAGCTGTAACTGCCCTTACTAATGCCCTTCAGAACAGGGCAGTGTTACCTTGCTTCCTAGCCAAGATGTGTGTCTGCTTGTACTTCGCATTCAGTGTTTTCAAAGAGTTGAGCAGCACTGTTTTTTTGAAGGTGTGCCCATTCCGCCTAATAATAAGCTGCATTAGTACAGTGTTTGCAGGGCACCTAAAAATAACTGTTCCAACATAAAAGTGTGGGCCTGTACCTAGAACTTGCTAGCATTAGACCTGTAAAACAACAAATACAAAATAAATCTCCTCTCCCTCTGTTAGCCTAGCTAACAACAACAAAGTGCCCAGCTAAACAGAAAGTACCAACCATAAGGAGAGACACAAACAACAATATGGAGTACAACAAAGTCTTGTACAAGAACTTGTACAAATCTTTAGTATTCAAGGTCTCTCTTACGTTTTTCTGCTCTCCCTATATTTCTTCTGGCCTCAGTCCCATCTGCTTATATTGGCATGCTCATGCTGGCGGTCCACAGCTGATGGCAATTACAACTTCATCCCTAGTAAATACGTGGCACTGAGAAAAAAGCAGACTCGACAATATAAGCAGTTAATGCTGGCCTGGAAGTAACACTTGTTTGCTGTCGAGGTGTTCCTGTCCATTATATGCTCAGAGCCTTTCGAGTATCATCCCCAATGCCAGCTGTGTCCCTGAGGATAGTGCAGAACTACCCTCTTACCTTCTCAAGTGTTGAATCAGTCTTGACAACAGCTCCTCTCAGCTCTGTCACTATGACTTGGCTCCCTGGCAGAATCCTCTGCAGGTTCCAGAGATTCTCATGACACTGAATATTAAAAATGTGAAGTGTTTTGTAATTTACATTTTACATCACTGTATTATGTCTCTACATTTATATAATTTTACGCTACAATTATTTCTGAATGCTAAACAATACATGAATAAGTCCAGTTGATGGACATCAAATGCCTTGATTCTGACATGTAAAGCATATGACATGAACAATAACTCTTAATGTATAAGGAAGAAAAGTTAAAATGTTTAGCCTTCAGTTGATGATATGCTGCAAATTAATACATTAATTATGGGTTTGATGTGACCTCCATGTTATCCCTGGCATGCCTTTAAGCAAAGATTCTTCAAAACCTTCAAAAATCATTTGACACCATGCCATCAACTTCCAGATTTTAATGAGATGCCAGTGAAATTCTCCCAGTGGTTTGTGCAAAGAGGCTTGCATTCCACTGTCGAAAGATGCTGCCCATCACTCTGTCCATGTTTAAAAAGTGGAAACTGTTGCCTGTGATCAAACAAGGTTGAGAAACCCTGAACAGGAGCTTACATTTTTCTCAAGAGTTTCAGCATTAATTATTTTTCAATTACCATCACACCATTGCTCATTGCAGCAGAGACATGCATGCAAGGTGTCCAGCTTCTTTTCACTGCTGGACTTCCATTACCCCACATTCTTCTAGTTAACAGTAAGTCTGTTAACTAGACATTTGCTGTAAGTAAAAAAACATGTTTTAGTTTTATGTCACATTTATTTATGCAAATTTACTTGACAAAGCTACAAGCCTGTAACAGCCTGGTAACACCTGGTGTTGACTAAGCTTATGGGCTACAACAGATCAGATTCCTAGTCAGTGGAGGTCTTGTCCTTTTCCCCGTATTCAGAAGTCAAGCTTCTTGTCTGCTTTGTTTTGCAGTCCCTGTCGACAGCCGTTGTGCAGGACTCTTCCTTCTCTGGGGATGAGGTCAAAGCAGCCAAGCGGCCCCGCCTGCCCACGCCCCCTCCCTCGCCCACCCCACCCCCAGCCCCTGCCCTGCCGCCGCCCCTGGAGGACTACGGCCACGGCTCCGACTACCTGGCCATCATGGAGTCCCTGCTGCAGACCCAGTTCCCCCCGCCGGAGGGCCGGAGCAGCACGTTCTAGAGGGCCCGGGGGCAGAGGCTCTGGCTTCCCACCCGCTCCCGCAGGCCGGCTGGATGAAGCAGCTCCTCCCGTCTCGCTGCACCAGGCTTTGGGCAGGCAGATGCTGTTGGGAAAACTAGTCGTGTGACACTTTTGGGAATTTTCTCCTTCTATACCAGAAAAGCAGCTAGAACTCTCAATGTGTACCATTTTGTGCAGGACCGTCACGTTACCTTTTTTCTGACGTTAAAATACCTGAGACACGCCTGGATGTGCCGTTAGCAATTTGCTTGTTTTTGCTGTATTTTTTAAGAAAACAAGCAGGCTAACAAATTACAAAGACAGCTGGACTACAGTTGTACAGTTTCAGTATATTTTTTTGTGAGGGGTGGGAAAATTAGTATTTAGAAACTCCAGTGATATAGAAGAAAATGTTAAAATAAAAACACAAGAAAGTGTTATAGTCTGAACGTCCTGAGCCCTGTCCCTCACAGTTTGAGAGCTCAGGTTCTTAAATGGATTGTTACTTTATTTTTCTTAGGGGATAAAGTAGTTGTGTGTAATTTAATTTCTTTTATCCACTGTGAGCTCTTAAGTTATTGACCATTTCTTTCCCACTGCTTTCTTGAAATTGTTCATTGTGCTTCTCTGGGAGGGTAGGTGTTATCTCAAAGATTTCTTTTCAGTCATTCAGCATTTTGATATTGTTAAATTTTATATAAGAAGGAGAAATGACAGTTCTAGTGTTGGCATGGAAACCTATCTATATATTTATAAATATATACATATATGGTATACACAACTCCATAGAAAGATTTAAGACTAACTTAATTTTTTTCTACCATTTTTGAGCCATCTTCAAAAGCGGTGCTATGATCATGACTACTGATGCAGGAAATATCCCTCATATTATGGAACTGTAAATATAAATTTTTTTTGAAGTTCTACAAGGAGCAATGTTTTCAACAATGAAATACCACCTTTTTTAATGTTTGAAAGTATGTATCTAAACAGCATTACTGCAACAGTTCACAGTTTAGTACCATGGAGAAACTGGTATTGTAAAGTAGCATTGAACTAACTGCGTTTTTGTGTACACCTTTTTCAAAGTGAATATAGCAGCAGGCCCTTATTTCTTTCATTTTCACTGAACTGGCTTTGTTTCTCTGCCTCTGGCAATGCCTAAGGCGGAATAAAGTCCAGCTGTTTCCAGTTTACCAAAGTCTTTACTTGGTTTGAGCTCAGTGCACTCCGTGCTTCCTGATTGAACTCAGCAGGGTCGCAGGAATGGCCATTACCAGTTGACCACCTGGTTGCAACAACCTTGAAAAGATACCCAGGACTCAGGCTTGCTTAGCTGAAAGTAGAGGAAAGGGCAGAATGATCAGGCTCTTTAATGGCTGCTACTATGCTAGTTGATTGTTTTCACTGATATGTTAATTTCTTTGTTCCCAGCTGTTTTTTCTAAAACAGGCTTTTAAATGTTAGTGAGTACATTCACCATCCTTGGTGTTGTGTCCCAGAAATTTCTGTGATGCCAAAACAGTAGGAAAAACTGAAAGCGATGAAGTATATTCCCCAGTAGCAAGATGAAACCGCTTACTTCTGACCACCCTACTCCTGAAACAATGGCTGGATACAGTGGGCCAAATTGCCTTCGATTTCCCTCTTCAATTCTGTCCCTTATTTTTGCAAAGTTGTCTGAAAAAGTAAGAAGATAGAATGCTGGGAAGATGTCTTTCAGGGCTTATAGATTAACTTAATTTAACAGCAGGAGACAATGTTAAATTTAGTCTTGAGATGCCAGGGGACAGCAATGGTAATAGTGAATTTCTGCAGCCTTTACATATGGACAGATTCCCATAGTCCATTTTTTATTTTCATGGTTTGTCATCACCTCTACAACAGGTATGCTGTTAACACACTTAATCAAACATGATTAAGAAATTAAGTAATTGTGACTTGATAAACAGTATGTTTTATAGTGGGTTGAGCACTTACTATATGATAGTCACTTGCAACCCAGAAAAACCAAAGTAGACTTACGTACTATTTAATTGCTGGAAACAGTGGATTTTATTAACAGGCTTTTAAAAAAATCTAAAAAGGCATCTGGTTGCTCAAGATCTCCATCCAAGAGTGGAATAAGTGTTATATCAGTTCTGTGAAAGGGTTATCTTGTTGGTCAGTGCACTATTGTAAATTTTTCTGAATGTGTTCACCTTTATTACATTAAAAATTCTGTTCTCTGCATTTTGAGAACTAAATTTGTCAGCTGCTAATCTTTTTTTCTGTTAAATGTTGTAGCCCAGTGATTAGCATTAATTTTGCATAATGGATGTTATACCCTTAAGTAAAAATGAAAGTGGAATTGCTTAAAACCTGAGGAAAAAAAAACATTTTTGGCATGATTATATATGCGGATGAATGGAACAAAACTGATTTTAAAACTGCAGTATTTGAGACTTTATGAAACCCATACTTGCAATAACTTTTGTAATATTTGAGAAGCAAACACATGGTGTTCACACATGTTTATAAATGTTATTCAGTTCAAAATTTTGAAATGCTATTAAAACTGTGAAATGGGCCATTGACCTCAGATTTCTGGAATTTGTGTTTTTAATCTTACATCAAGGATATCCAGTCCTGTCATGGGTGGGTCAATGTGTGCCCATCAAGGTATTCAACACTCTTGGCTTCGTATTGCCTGGCAGGAGCTGCATTACACCTCTTCCTAACAGCACTGCCAGCTTCCAGACTTGAGGCTCTCTTCATGCGATTATGAAATTTTTGACAATTCCTTCCTTATTTAAAATATTTGACAGGTTGAGTATCTGTCTTGTCTGGGGGGGTTGGTAATTCTCTTTAAAGCTAAGGTCTCCAGTCCTTGTCCTGAATGTTGTATAAATCAATAGGTTTTGGGGTTTGTGTCCACCTGAGACAACACTGACTAGACTGAGGTTGATAAGAAATGAGTTGGAATTAAAATCCTCAGACATTGAAAAGCAGTCTTCTGGGTATGTGCTATCCCCTGCTAGTGTTTCAGCACTGATCAGAATCATATAGGCACAAGCCCAACAGAGCTCTTATATACATTACATAGGTTTATTCAGTGCTTAATTGAACTATATTATCATTGTTCTATTTGCTGCTATTAAAAGACTGTATAAGTAGATTGTTGCCAAGTAATTTAGAAAAGAGCAATGTTCAGTCTATTCTTAACTTAATATTTTATGACTTGGGCTAATTGATCCCTTCATTGAACCTCATTTTTCCACTACATCTTTTTCACCTTTTGCCCTTTCAGAAGTAATCTGAATGCAGTTTCCAAGGAGATATCAAAGCCTGTGGTTTATTCATGTTTAATTCTTGCTTTATTATCTATCTTTGTTAAAAATCTTAGGAGATGCAATGTACAGAAACAGTTACTGAAGGAATTTATATTGTCAAACATAATAGCCATAGTGAGTATTTTTTTAAATTTCTAAAAATCTGGCCTCCCCTTAAGACACTTTAAAACAAATACAAATGTTTATCCTAAAGCACAGGAAACAACAGCAGGCCATTTGGTATTTCAGTAGGTAAGGGAATCTGAAATCTCTTGTGTACCCATTTCGTAAAAGTGCTTCAAATTTTGGTCTCGACCACACATAACCACTACTGTTTAAATAATTTTTCTGTTCTTTGTCCTTTTAATTTCAAGCTGTGACCTAATGTATTTTTTCATTACTGAAATAATAGAAAGCATTAATAGGCTCAATCAGGAATTAGTTTATGAATCTTAACCAAATCTGCCAGTCCCCTTTGTTCTAGATTTGAAGAGATTTAGCTTCCCTAACCTATGATTATATATATATAATTCCCCTGAGACAAAGAATTCTTCTGTTCTTTGAACTATTTGTTTTTGGTGTCAATAACTGAACTGACCTATTTTGAATAAGGTCTTAAATAGTCATTATAAAGCTTGAGCTTAGTTCCCTGGATTTATACATTGTCATCCTTTGTCATCAATAATTATTTTTCACATTTGAAAAATTGTTTCCCCACATGGTCTTGATGAGGAATCTCCCACTTTGCACTTATCAATGATGAATTTTATGTACCAAGTGTCGGTCCAATACAGGATTTGTAAGTCTTTTTGTATTTTCCTTGTCCCTATTTCTAGGTGACAAACCCATTATTTTCACAGCATCTGCAAGTGTAACTTATTTGCAAACTATTTCTGAATCTAAGGAAGAAGTTAGTTTATTCCATGCTGAAAAGAGAAGAAAGGAAACAACTTTTTGGCTGTGGAGCCTTCTTCGGAGATATATCTGAATCTAAATCATTCATATAGATGAGGAACAGCATTGAGCTCAAAATGGGGGAAACGGCTGTTTTTATCTGCATAATTAGCTTGTGTTGTAACTTTAATTTTGTGATTTTTACTCCACCTCCCATGAGCTCTCAGAAAAGACATTTCATTGCAACTACTGCCACACGCTGTATTGTTGTGCATTTGATCAACAAACTGATTGATTGATAGTCCTGTGCCCCCTGAAAAGCTTTCCACATTGCAGAAGTAATTCCTACCTGTCTACCCCACAATCACCAACTGCACTGCTTGGCATCTCCTGTAAAATAAGTACCCTTTTTATGGTAGAAATTTATAACTGTGGTTTTACAACTTACTAGCAACTTGGTTGGAGTGAAACTCCAAATAAAATGTAGCGCTTTCTAGTACCAGAGGTGTATCCAATAATGTTCTCAACACAAATGTGTAGCTGACATTACAGAGAGGCTGTATACAGATATGGAGCACAACCTTTCCAGAGAGAAATATCAGGTTGAATGCAAAGCAGGCCCTTTAGAGAGAGGCTGATATAAAAAGGAGCAGCTGTATTTCTGCTCTGTGTTTCCCTATGGAAAGATCTAGCATAATGTTATCATGATGCGTCATTTAGAACTCCACACTTTATTGTAGCATAACTCCAGAGAGTAGGCGTTTTACATTACTATAAGGGGTCTTTAACTTGTCTTTTATGTCCCCATTAGGTTTGTGCTTTCTTCATTTTTAGGAGCTCTAAAACATCAGCCAGACGAACCCTACAGGTTTCATATTAGTCTCAATGTCTTATTTTTACGTAGATTAAAAAAATATTGTAATTTAGAAATTTGTGAATAGACTCATAAGCCAAATTAAATTGTTCCAAAACACATATTATGCAAATTCTCAATTTTGTAATACTATCATCATAATAGATGGCTTAGTCATTTTGTACTATATTCTATATGATTTTAAAATTAGTTACCAATGTAGTGTTCATTCCATTGTCATACTGATAAATCTTTAAAGGTAGTACTGCCATTTGAAAGCTGGTATTTCAATGCGTCTTTTCAGAATACACAAACATTTGAATGGAAAGGACAGACTTAAAGCTGGTTTCAGTGACTGCCTGGCATATTTCCATCCTGGTACAGCTCCAAGATCATGAATGTACGGAGTTACTATGCCAATTGTTGTCCTTAAACTAAAAAATACAAATTAGCACATTTACTGGTACATAGAGGTTTTCCACAGAAATAAGGAGTTTTAGATTTAAAGTCTGAGTTGGTATTTTTCCACAACTTTACATAAGTTTATCACCTCTAATCACACCACAGCTTCGTTTTACTCAGTAGGGTGTAAGAACTGTTTACGATTTAAAAAAATAGACTGTAAGCGCTTACTGTTACTACAATAGCCTGCTTTTAAGTGTTTTCCACGGATAACACCGTAAGTATTGAACATTACAAAAACAAAAAATTACTTCACCCAACTTCTACTTTCAATCTAATGGAGATTTTTTCAGATTTTTGGATTCAGTTTTATCTTTTATCTTTGTGTCTCTTTTAATATTAAAATTTAATATTTTCATTTTTTTATATTAACTACTTTCAGTGTTTTCCTGCTGCTGCACATTTACTGTGCTCCATTATCAAACAGTTGTAAGGCACTCCGAGTGCATGATAAAACAAAAATTAAGTTGCCTAATGACAAAAGTACTTGAACTGTCTTATATTAAATTAGAAAACAGTTTTGTGGGGGCTCTTTAGAAGACATCCACATATCATTTCTATCAGTTTGGGGCAAGTCAGTAATGAAAGTGATGCCCAAGTGAGGGGTATGTGAAAGATAATGGATATTTTAAAGCATCCATTTTATTTCCCCTGCTGTTTTACAGCTTGGAGGTCTCCTTTTTTTCCCTGATGATGGTTCAAACTTTCTTGCAATAGTTTTTCCTGTTTTTTTTTCTGGAAATTAAAAAATGATCTAAATACTATTTGCAGTAAACGTACCTCTGGGAGAGAGGCGGTAGTAACGAGTGTCGCTACATTTACAGAACACTGCCTAAAGCCTCCAGCTATTGCAAGTTCATTACGAGCAATCCCAGAGCCTGACTAATTTCCCCATTACAAGTGAGATAGGAAGAGAAGCTGTCTGCACAACGACATGCCGAGAAATTACTTGTGCTATGGGAAATGTGTTGGTCTGCCTTAGTCATTCACTTAAAGATACAATGTCTTCCCAATCATTTTCACTTGCACACAATGTAATATTTTTTTTCATGTAATAAATATGGAAGGAGGTCATTCAATCCATTTTTCTAGCCTGGTTCCCAGACGCCAGTTGGTCCATAACAGTCTACTGATCCGTCATCACGATGCTAACTGAAGAATCCAATCACCCCAGAATGTTAAGCAGATAGTATACAGTATATAACAAATATTAATTGAATCTGGTCATTACTGAAGTGAGTACATCATGGAGTGTCATTACTTGAAGATTCAAGCAAGATGTAAGATGTATCACAAAAAGCGGATATTATTAGATGCAGTTTGACCCAGGACTAGATCAGATCCAGTTGTTGGATGCAGTGGAACCATTATCCTTGAAGACAGAGGAAAGCCAAGATTGAAGTGCTCACCTGCTATACAGTATGCAAAAACTGGTTTATAACAACGTTAGCTGCAGACACACAGCTTTCTACAGAAGTTATAAGGAATGCAAAAATCACATTTTTGTCATCTGATTTCCTGTTTAACCACATGATTCATTTTCCAAATTTGGCAGTTGATACAGGTTGACACCTAAACTCATTAACATGTATACATATTTAAATCCATTAATTACGCTATTCAGGCTTGTTGGGCAATCTTCCTGTTTTTTAAGTGCTATCATGCATACACAAAATGACATTATTTCCTAGAACATTCCTGTCAAATGAAATTGCATTCATTAAGTTAAATTTGGGTCAGGATTGTTCTGTGTATAGGGTTTTTTTATTTGGTTTATTACTGTGGAAATTTAAAGGACTGACAGACCAAAAGAAATGTTCCTTGAAGCCACTATGTGCTCACACATTGTTAAAATCTACCTGAGGATGCCCCAGTTTAACTGGATGAGCAGTAGAAAAAGTGCATTATGACAACCTCTGGTATTTAAAACCAAGTTGAAACTCAGCTACACTTTGATGATTTAAATTTGAACTAAGTGAAAGGTAGGTATGCAGTTTTTTGCCAAGTCAGTGAAAGGGCTCTAAATAATAGTACTGGAAATGGCTCTTAAATCAGTAAAAA